ATGCCATTCTCTTCATATCCTATCTATCTATGCCATTCTCTTCATATCTATCTATCTATGGCATTCTCAACATATCTATCTATCTATCTATGGCATTCTCTTCATATCTATCTATCTATCTATGGCATTCCCTTCATATCTATCTATCTATATCTATGGCATTCTCTTAATATCTATCTATCTATCTATGGCATTCTCTTCATATCTATCTATCTATATCTATGGCATTCTCTTAATATCTATCTATCTATCTATGGCATTCTCTTCATATCTATCTATCTATGGCATTCCCTTCATATCTATCTATCTATATCTATGGCATTCTCTTCATATCTATCTATCTATATCTATGGCATTCTCTTCATATCTATCTATCTATCTATGGCATTCTCTTCATATCTATCTATCTATCTATGGCATTCCCTTCATATTTATCTATCTATATCTATGGCATTCTCTTCATATCTATCTATCTATCTATGACATTCTCTTCATATCTATCTATCTATCTATGCCATTCTCTTAATATCTATCTATCTATCTATGGCATTCTCTTCATATCTATCTATCTATATCTATGGCATTCTCTTAATATCTATCTATCTATCTATGGCATTCTCTTCATATCTATCTATCTATATCTATGGCATTCTCTTAATATCTATCTATCTATCTATGGCATTCTCTTCATATCTATCTATCTATCTATGCCATTCTCTTCATATCTATCTATCTATCTATGCCATTCTCTTCATATCAATCTATCTATCTATGGCATTCTCTTCATATCTATCTATCTATCTATGGCATTCTCTTCATATCTATCTATCTATCTATCTATCTATGCCATTCTCTTCATATCTATCTATCTATGCCATTCTCTTCATATCTATCTATCTATGGCATTCTCTTCATATCTATCTATCTATCTATGGCATTCTCTTCATATCTATCTATCTATGGCATTCTCTTCATATCTATCTATCTATGGCATTCCCTTCATATCTATCTATCTATATCTATGGCATTCTCTTATCTATCTATCTATCTATCTATCTATCTATCTATCTATCATCTATCTATCTATGGCTTTTTCCCTTCATATCTATCTATCTATATCCATGGTTCTCTTAATATCTATCTATCTATCTATGGCATTCTCTTCACATCTATCTATCTATCTATGGCATTCCCTTCATATCTATCTATCTATATCTATGGCATTCTCTTCATATCTATCTATCTATCTATCTATCTATCTATCTATCTATGGCATTCTCTTCATATCTATCTATCTATCTATCTATGGCATTCTCTTCATATCTATCTATCTATCTATCTATCTATCTATGGCATTCTCTTCATATCTGTCTATCTATCTATGGCATTCTCTTCATATCAATATATCTATCTATGCCATTCTCTTCATATCAGTCTATCTTTCTATCTATCTATGACATTCTCTTCATATCAATCTATCTATCTATGGCATTCTCCTCATATCTATCTATCTATACCTATGGCATTCTCTTCATATCTATCTATCTATCTATGGCATTGTCTTCATATCTATCTATCTATGGCATTCTCTTCATATCTATCTATCTATCTATCTATGGCATTCTCTTCATATCTATCTATCTATGCCATACTCTTCATATCTATCTATCTATCTATCTATCTATCTATCTATGACCAGCTTCTTCATATCTATCTTTGATTCTCATTCTCTTCATATCAACCTATCTATCAATGCCGCATTCTCTTCACATCTATCTATCTATCTATGGCATTCTCTTCATATCTATCTATCTATGGCATTCTCTTCATATCTATCTATCTATCTATCTATCTATCTATCTATCTATGCCATTCTCTTTATATCTATCTATCTATGGCATTCTCTTCATATCTATCTATCTATCTATCTGTCACATGCATTCTAAACATATCTATCTATCTATCTGGCATTCTCTTCATATCTATCTATGGCATTCTCTTCATATCTATCTATCTAAGGCATTCTCTTCATATCTATCTATCTATCTATCTATGGCATTCTCTTCATATCTATCTATCTATCTATCTATCTATGGCATTCTCTTCATATCTATCTATGGCATTCTCTTCATATCTATCTATCTATCTATGGCATTCTCTTCATATCTATCTATCTATGACATTCTCTTCATATCTATGACATTCTCTTCATATCTATCTATGCCATTCTCTTCATATCTATCTATCTCATTCTCTTCATATCTATCTATCTATCTATCTATCTATCTATGACATTCTCTTCATATCTATCTATCTATGCCATTCTCTTCATATCTATCTATCTCATTCTCTTCATATCTATCTATCTCATTCTCTTCATATCTATCTATCTATCTATGCCATTCTCTTAATATCTATCTATCTATCTATGGCATTCTCTTCATATCTATCTATCTATATCTATGGCATTCTCTTAATATCTATCTATCTATCTATGGCATTCTCTTCATATCTATCTATCTATATCTATGGCATTCTCTTAATATCTATCTATCTATCTATGCCATTCTCTTCATATCTATCTATCTATCTATGCCATTCTCTTCATATCAATCTATCTATCTATGGCATTCTCTTCATATCAATCTATCTATCTATGGCATTCTCTTCATATCTATCTATCTATCTATGGCATTCTCTTCATATCTATCTATCTATCTATCTATCTATGCCATTCTCTTCATATCTATCTATCTATGCCATTCTCTTCATATCTATCTATCTATGGCATTCTCTTCATATCTATCTATCTATCTATGGCATTCTCTTCATATCTATCTATCTATCTATGGCATTCCCTTCATATCTATCTATCTATATCTATGGCATTCTCTTAATATCTATCTATCTATCTATCTATCTATCTATCTATCTATCTATCTATCTATCTATGGCATTCCCTTCATATCTATCTATCTATATCTATGGCATTCTCTTAATATCTATCTATCTATCTATGGCATTCTCTTCATATCTATCTATCTATCTATGGCATTCCCTTCATATCTATCTATCTATATCTATGGCATTCTCTTCATATCTATCTATCTATATCTATGGCATTCTCTTCATATCTATCTATCTATCTATCTATCTATCTATCTATCTATCTATCTATCTATGGCATTCTCTTCATATCTATCTATCTATCTATCTATGGCATTCTCTTCATATCTATCTATCTATCTATCTATCTATCTATGGCATTCTCTTCATATCTGTCTATCTATCTATGGCATTCTCTTCATATCTATATATCTGTCTATGGCATTCTCTTCATATCTATATATCTATCTATCTATGGCATTCTCTTCATATCAATATATCTATCTATGCCATTCTCTTCATATCAGTCTATCTATCTATCTATCTATGACATTCTCTTCATCTCAATCTATCTATCTATGGCATTCTCCTCATATCTATCTATCTATACCTATGGCATTCTCTTCATATCTATCTATCTATCTATGGCATTGTCTTCATATCTATCTATCTATGGCATTCTCTTCATATCTATCTATCTATGGCATTCTCTTCATATCTATCTATCTATGCCATACTCTTCATATCTATCTATCTATCTATCTATCTATCTATCTATCTATCTATGCCATTCTCTTCATATCTATCTATCTATGACATTCTCTTCATATCAATCTATCTATCTATGGCATTCTCTTCATATCTATCTATCTATCTATGGCATTCTCTTCATATCTATCTATCTATCTATGGCATTCTCTTCATATCTATCTATCTATCTATCTATCTATCTATCTATCTATCTATCTATCTATGCCATTCTCTTTATATCTATCTATCTATGGCATTCTCTTCATATCTATCTATCTATCTATCTGTCTATGGCATTCTCTACATATCTATCTATCTATCTATGGCATTCTCTTCATATCTATCTATGGCATTCTCTTCATATCTATCTATCTAAGGCATTCTCTTCATATCTATCTATCTATCTATCTATGGCATTCTCTTCATATCTATCTATCTATCTATCTATCTATGGCATTCTCTTCATATCTATCTATGGCATTCTCTTCATATCTATCTATCTAAGGCATTCTCTTCATATCTATCTATCTATCTATCTATGGCATTCTCTTCATATCTATCTATCTATCTATGGCATTCTCTTCATATCTATCTATCTATGACATTCTCTTCATATCTATGACATTCTCTTCATATCTATCTATGCCATTCTCTTCATATCTATCTATCTCATTCTCTTCATATCTATCTATCTATCTATCTATCTATCTATCTATGACATTCTCTTCATATCTATCTATCTATGCCATTCTCTTCATATCTATCTATCTCATTCTCTTCATATCTATCTATCTCATTCTCTTCATATCTATCTATCTATCTATAATTCTTTCTTTCTTTTTTTTCTTTTATCCTCTTCGGCTCTTTTATCTATCTATCTATCTATCTATCTATCTATCTATCTATCTATCTATCTATCTATCTATCTATTTCTCTCTCCACATATATAAAGAAGTAGCGGATATTTTTAATTTATTAATTCGTCACTTTAAACGTTACTTTTTGCAGGATGCATCGTAAACAGGCTATAAAAGGCGTCACCAATCAAGCTAGATTGAGTATTGCCTTCGAGGCTGAGTCGATTAATAGCGCGTCGGATCTAACAACGATTTCTCTAGTAAAGTGGGTAGCCGGTTCGAATCTTGTCGTAGGGCGAATCTTTTACTTTAATAAGATTTCTCAAATATTCCGACTGGATATAATGTTTAAAATAAACGGATCGTCTACTGAAATATGGGTGTACACTAAATACAACTCTTAAATTTTTGAAGCCAAAACTATGAAACTTCTTAGGGTAATTAAATGCATGAAGTAAAAAAAAATCGCAACAAATTCTCCGGAAGAGAAGTTCCACTACATTGTTTATTTCTTGTCTCGTTGATAAAGGTCACAGAATTCAGATTTAAATTTTTTCTCATAATGCTTTCATTTAGTTAAATGTCCAACTAATATAAAATAAATGTTATTAGCTTTATTAACAATATTATTACTATTTTTGTTGTTTTTATCTCTCGAATTTCTTTAACCTGCCTATTAAATCTGTATACTATAACAAGGATGCGTGGACAATCTTTCTTTACTATATATATATATATATATATATATATATATATATATGATGTTTCACCAGTCCCCTCAAAATGACAGCATGGAAAAATATATGAAAGAAAGATTCACAAGAATGGTGGCAAAGTTCGTTATTTTTGATGCGTGAGGATATCATACGCAAATCCATATATATATATATATATATATATATATATATATATATATATATATATATATATATATATATATAAGGCTCAAACACTAATATTCCACGGTTATAATTTATTACATTGAAATTGTAATCACGATCAATTCATCAGACCTACAAGTTCAAAACATATTGACCACTATTATTATCAATCTATATATATATATATATATATATATATATATATATATACCCTATTTACATTCTTCGGACTGTTATTCTCATCTTTATTGTCACATTCACAATGTTTCCCAGTAAAGTCACTGAGAATCTGTTCCATTTCCCCCACTTTACTAATCGATCCAGGAATGTAAACGCTATATGTCAGTCTATTTCAGGAAATAAACATAGGTAGAACATCTGCACAAAGTTCGTCGAGCCAATCTTCAGAAACGCCAATATACAGACTGACTATTTTCGTTTCGATTCAAAATTAATAAAATATCACCTGAAGAAGACCGGAGCGTATAACGCCCGAAACGTTGTGAATGCGAAAATAAAGACATGGAGAACAGTCCAAACAGTATAAATAAGGTAAAGAGTTACAATACCACATTTAGAAATATACACACCGTGTGTATGTTAGTGCGGTGTAGGTTCATGTGTGCTTTTGTTTGTGCCTGTAATTCAAAAGTTTTGAATTAAATGTGTTTTTGTTCTGTTTTTTGTTTTTGTAGTTTTTTAACAAATTATTTATGCACAGTTACTTACCAATCCATTGCAAGTTCCAATGGCTACTTTTGAGTGAAGATCGTCTTTAACGTTTCCGATATAATGGCAGTTCTTTTTCTGGTACCGTGTGAACGAGGAGTCAGAAGTATTTTTGAAGCGTGACTTTCGCCTCTCTACGACCATTGCCGGGGCAATGAAGTCATGATTTGGTACCAGTTCTATATGGAGCGTTTCGTTCTCAACGGTCACGTGATAGTGCACCGAGTCTGGATTTTCGTTCTCATCCGGGAACTCTCCAGCGCTTCTCTTGACAACATGGCTGTCTGGGTGTAGATGGTGGCTCTCATAGTTGCCTTTTGAATTTACGCGATATGGCACAACGAGTTCGTAATCTTTCAGCTGTTTGATGAACTCGGCTGGTTAAGGAAAGAAAGAACAGAATAAAAATTAATTAAAAAATATAACAAAGGACAAAGTTTATTTTTTCCAAGAAAATAGAAAACATACTGCGAACTTCATACAACTACATTACTCCGTATTCGGTACTCCGTCTTTTCATAGACGGCAAGATGATCACATTTCAAATCTAAATTGTTTGTTCAACCAAATCATTATATTTGTTCGTAAATATATTCAGTTTAAACACAGGAGTCATAAAAATAACATCAAAATCCAGCACATTTTGTCTACATTTTGTTACTCAGGCATTGTTACCAGACAGAAATTATCCCTTACGATACCGATCTACATTTTGATTTAATTCAAATTGTGCTCATATGAAAGTTTTCAAGAGTGCATGTATATTATCATTCAATGACTGACTTTAAAATATTTCTGTAATATTAAATAAAATACTAAATTGGTAACTAGCTCTTATCACTTTATCGTTGAAATTACTAGATGTAACCGTAAGTTCTATGCTGACAGCTTCTCTCACTTGTGAAACTCTCTTTCCAGACAATTTTATCTTCAAAAATTTAAATGCAATGTCAATCGTTATCTACTGTCTTCTTGATTCCTCTTCTTTTATTTTCTCGCTCTTTAAATATGTTTTTTTTTTTTAATATTCTTTCACACTGTGTAACCTCTTGCATGCTTGGGGTGAAATGATTAAAAAAGAAAGATAAAATGTTTCTTAAGTCAATGATTGCAAATTTGGATTTAGAATTTTTTTTTTTATTGTTTATCATTCATAAATATCTGCAAGCAAACATTATACTTTGAATTTCATTATCGCTAGTTCTGTTACTGTCACTTTACCTGATATCAAGATGATTGCGTTTGTAGAATTAAAATTCTAAATTCATTAGCAAATACAGGGTGTCCATAAAGTTCGTGTGCACTTTAAAAAAATTATAATTTTATTTGTATTTGCGATAGAAATAATCTGTAACTTTATGGACATCTTGTATATTTACAAAAGTATTGCCGTATTAGATATTTGTGTCCATTCGTTAGCGACGTTCGCGCACTGAAAACAACTATATGCAAAGCAAAATGTCCAACAATACCTTTTATCCGTAGGTGAAAGATATACACTTGTGCTCAAAATGTATTTAATTGAATACATAAAACTGTGTACAAAATATGTACAGGGTGTCCATAAAGTTCGTGTGCACATAAAAAATTTATAAATTTATTTGTATTTGCGATAGAAATAATCTGTAAAAAAATATTATAAAGTTTAATGTACCTAGTTTTAAGTATAGCTAAAACAACTAACGTGATTTCAGGCATTACTGTAAATCAGTTTGGCAAATGTTTTCGTGAACAGCAAAATCGTATTACCCTTTGTATTGCTAATGATGGAGGACATGTGGAAACTTAAATAAAATTTTAATAAAACCTTACTCAATATAGATTTACATCTTTCTAATCCTTTTTACAAATTATTACTATCGCAAATACAAATAAAGTTATAATTTTTTTAAGTGCACACGAACTTTATGGACACCCTGTTTATTTACAAAAGTATTGCCGTATTGTATATTTGTGAGGAGAGAAATTTATATTGTTTGTCGCTAAGAAAATTGCTACTTTTGAAGTGATCGACAAGATCAGAATGGTTCCAAAAAATAGGAATTGAAGACAGCTTCAAAAGTTTTGCTGCTGACACTAAAGAGGGTGATGCAGCGAACATTCCGACAGAGATGAGCGTTCACCTGCATTCTTGTAAACTGAGCATACATTGACACCTTTCATAGATTTTCGAACCATTTCTCTTTCATGCAAATTAAGCAATTTTACAAAGATTGGGGGATACCTCTGGTCTACGGTTTTTAACAACAAGCAGAGGTTTTATCCGGACTTAACCTTCGTAGAGTCAAGGCTTAATAACCATTTTCAAACAGTGCATCGCCCTTTATGCACACGAACTTTATGGACAAATTGTATATTTACAAAAGTATTGCCGTATAGTATATTTGTGTTGTATGGTTAAAGACATTATCTTCCTGAGTCGATCCACCATCCAACACCTGCCCCCAATGAACGTGCATAGTACACTTTCTCGTTACTAAATAAACAAGTTGTTCATCCACGCAGAATATGTTTTAACGATCCTACTGGCGCCGGTGTACTCATCAGTAACCTTGACATCTTCCTATTTTTTGGAACCATTCTGATCGCCATTTAAATA